GGGGGGGGGGGGGGGGGGGGGGGGGGGGGGGGGGGCGCCGCGTCGCTCTCGTCATCCACTTTGGCAGGCAACGACCGTTGCTCTATTTTTAAACGTGGTGTTTTTTGTCGAAATGACATTACTATCCTTTTGCTTTGAAAATCCTTGGGTTTTTTTGTTCTCTCTCTTCTTTTGTAAATTTTCATTTTTTACGCGGCAGGTCATTTTTAAGGTGCTTTTGTTTTGGTTTAACTTTTTTATTTTTATTTACAAGAATTTTTTTATCAATCAGAAAGAAATTTTAATTGATAAAGCTACTATTGTTTGATATCTTGAAAACACACTTGATTATTGAATTAAGATTTAATGAAACCAGTAATTTAAATACAAAATCTCTCAATAATTATGCTTAAACTTTCATTTAAATCAAGAGAGATTTGAATACACAAACGGCAGTCTAGAGAAACAAAGTTTATTGTATTGCACTTGTTGAGACATATAACTCAATATTCAATTTTACCCTTTATTTTGCAGTTTTTTTTTTAATTTTTTTTTCTAATTATTTTAAAAAATAATTGATATCATAGTATTAATGAAACCTTTTCTTACCGAAAATAAGTGTTTAGAAGTATTTTCACACCAAATAACTAGCAATATCATACTCATCCTAACACCAATTCTCGACCCTACTGGTATACATGAAGTTGAATGAACAAAAGCATAAAAGAAGACTTGCCTTTGCCTTTTTTGTATAACTTACAAGTCCAAAAAAACATAAAAGAAAAAAAAAGGGGCAGGGTGGTTAATTGCACTAGAAGTTTCTAAAGTATCAAGTTTGTCTCATTTTGATTTTCAATATTTTAACTATATTAGTTTTGTCTCTTAATTATTGAATATGTTTTTATGTGATCCCTCAAGAAGAGAACATCTAAATTGTTAACAATTTTTGATTATAGATTTGTCACGTAATATTTAAATATGAAAAAAAAAATAATTTGAATAACACTTGACCAAATTTTTAACCAAATTTTGGTCAAATAACTATCCAAATTACACAGTTTTGATTATGAGTTATCTAAATTTTAGTCAAAAATTACTTATATTACGCATTTTTGATCAAGAGCTACCAAAATTATTTTTTGCTCATATTTAAGTATCTTTTTTTTAAAAATTGTTAACAATTCAGATATTATATGTTTGAGGGATCACATAGAAATATAATCAATACTTTAGGGACTAAAATGATGCAATTAAAATGTGCGAGGGCTAAAATGAGATAAATTCCATACTTTGGGGACTTCAAGTGTAATTAACAAAAACAAAAAAAGTAAATTTGTGGGTAGGGGTATTACAGTCATTACATGCTCGTTGCCAAACTTTTAAACGAACTCCATTTTAAGAAGACTTGCTTTTGCCTTTGCCTTACCTTTTTCTGTCTCTTTCTCTCACCGTACTGGAGTCTTGATCATTGTAGAACCGATTTCCAAGAAGAGTACCTGCCTTTGCCTGTAACTTCTTTCTCTTGATCTTTATAGGACCCCCATAAATTCCCTCATCGCCAATAGCAAATTCATCGGGGGTTTCAAATTTCGAATTTGTTCCCAGAAAATCATTCAGTCGGTTGCTTTCTCCAACCGCTTCCATCGAGCACATAGCAATAGTACTGTAGTAGCACAAGTCCTTGAAGTCCAAACTTTAAAAGAAATTGTTAGAATCGAACGGTTTTGGAATTTCGGAGGAGATGTGGGGTCAAGAACGCCGTGCTCCGGTGGAAGTTGATGGTGGCGAAACCCCTTGGAGTTGGGGGCCCCCTATCTGGCTGGGAAGACTCGGTGGTTGTGGTAATGGTCAATTGGGTGGTTATAGTAATGAAAGCGAGCATGACTTGGCTGCTATGGTGAGCGATTTCTTGGAGATCGGTAGCAGTGGAACTGAATCTTGGTATAGCAGCGACAGCGATTCCGGTTTCTCCGATCTCGCTTATCTGGCGGACAAGATTTTGGTTAGTCTTCCTATTTTCGCCATGTGAATTTGATAGCAATACGTATATGATCATGCAGGTATTTATTTCAAATTATACATAAAAGGAAAGGAAAATTTGAATAAATGAAAGCTGAGTTTACATATTTGATTGGACTATACATGAAGAAATAACAGAAGTTACTAAAATTTTAGCACATACTGTTCTTTATCTTGAACGTATGTGACGGATTCCAAAATTGTGGCATGCTTGATACTGAATTAATGTGTACATACATGTCACACTCTATATAGATCCAGGATTTTAATGAAGGCCTAATTGGCAGCAATAACAGGATATTGTGGTAACCATTGATGTGTTAATGAGATTGCAATCATTTTGGAAGTCCTAGTGGGGCAGTTTGCACTACCATTATACAACCTTATGCTAGAAAAAAGAGTCTTGATCCATGGAAGTAGGGACATGCTGGATCCATGGAAGTAGGGACATGCTGGCTTTTTAGATTTATTTTTGTTTTTTGTTATTTTTGACATGGTTCACCGCAATTGTGTAGTAGTGTGACATATTTTAGCCCAGATGGGGATTCTTCCTAAGGTGACGTTTGTAGTTCTGTTTTGCAATTAACTTAGATGAACGGTTATTACATGTATTCACCTGTCTATGCTTCATTGTCATTGTATATCTGACACTCAAATGAAAGAACAGAATGAGTGTATCTAAGTTCAGTACATCGAGAAGGGTGAGGAACTCGAGTGGAAAGAAAATGGAAGGATATAATTGGAAGTAACTACCAAAATGATAGTTTGGAGCCCTGCATTAAAGCGGCTGATAATATGAGACACAATGATTTGGTTACTTGCAGCACATACTAATGTTTGCATTATTGGAATGAATGACGCGGTCCAAGGGGAAGCAGTGCAGATTTGAGGGACTTGTAGCATGATAGGTAACGTAGGTAACACGAACTTGCATGCCCTTCCAATTTACTTGTTGAGAACATATGGTTTCTGGAACAGATAGAAATCCTTCTACAAGTTTATTTTCCAGCGTTGACTTCTGACCAAGAGTAATACAAATTGTGGTATAATGCTCGAAATTTGAACTTGTGATACCGATGCTACCTACTGCTGCTACATATTAAATCATTATTCTTTTGCAGAACATGAAATTATGTAGAACCTGATTTCTCTTTGGTCTTCTACCTAACAGCTAAGGAAAAGCAATAAGCCATGGTTATCCTTTCTTTTAGTAATATAATAGTCATGTGCTTGAACGTCAATGCATTGTTCTTGTTTGCATCATTCAGAATAGTTTTTTTTTTTGGTATAACACCATTCATAATAGTTGAAGTGTCACTGTTCATGGTCTGTCCTCAGCAATCAAATTGAATCTCTTTCAAAGGCAAATGTTAAGTATTTTACTAAGGAGAAATGTTCTGAACAGATTTGGCTGAATCTTATTAAAAAGATTGAACTTTGTGTTTGCAGTTTTTTCTGTCAAGAATGATTTATGTGAAAACAATGGTTAAATAATGATGGCATTGTTAATGCTTCTGGTTGAATTTAAGTAGTGTGTTGAAATATTTGACAAAATGGGTTAGGCAGGGCATTGGCACTATTTTAGAGGGCCTGATGTTGTCATTTCAGGTTTACTTATTCATTTGCTCTTATGAAAAGGTTCTGTACGTAGGTCATAAATTGCATTTCATAGCATGGTTTTTGCATATGAAGTGTGCTATGTAAGTGCTGTTTATGATTGATGGTGGATGAGGTGGAATGACTTTAATTAAGAGAATTTGGATTATTTATTAGTTAGTTTCTTTGTATTGCAATCATACAAATTCCATGATTTAAATTTTGTTGGATTCAGTTGCATTTGAAATCCAATGTTGTACTATCTTTGCCTTTACCATGAGTATGCATCTGTATCCCATTCTGACGGAGGAGAAGTTGGAAACATGAGGTCCTGTCTTGGTGGTGTATATTGAGATATTTATTGATGGTGATTGATAGCATGGTGGATTGGCATGTAGACTAATGGTTTCATAATGTATCAAGTGGGGTATTACTCCCCAGAAAGAGGGGTGTTATGGAGATATAGTATGTGCATCTTGGATAGTCTGGTTTAACTGTTGGCCTAGAAATGGCTTGTGTGTCTGGGAATCTAATATTAAGATACTTCTCCCTTAATCTGCATGGTTGTGGAGAAACATCAAGACACTAATTTTGAAAGATAGGGATGTATATGTAATACATGCATACTCAGATGTGCGCCCATGCATACGTTGGCGTGCCTTAGTAAAAAGAAGGAACAATTACCTATGCATAGGTATAAATGTGATTCTTATGGCATTTCGACTGCTGGTCATTAATTATTTTCATAGGTTGACACCCCTAATGATTTCTTATTTCTTCTATAGTCTACTATTCTCCAAAAATTAATTACAGTTTGTACAATCATTTTGTTTGCATTCGTACCTTCTTTTTTTTCTTTAGAAATACTACTGTAGCCATATGCTTTCTCAAAACAATTTAGATGTGTGTCCATTAGGTTCCGGAAGCCCTTAACATTTTTCTAAATTAGGAGGCGTGTTTTCAAGGCGTATATGTATCTAGATATTTTGAACACGTGTAGAAGTGGCTTACAAAGTACTGGTGGCCTACTGACTTCTTGTACAGACATGGATTCCTTGTTGAAGCATTCATTGATTTGAGCGTCTATTTACTGATTCTCCTCCTTTCAGATATTCACATATTCAACTAGCTGCTTTTATTTTATTAGAAAGTTTAGGTGGCCAAATTTTATTGATTTTTCTCCAATTTTGCAGTCATATAAGCATGCAGTGGACCAGTATGAGAGTGACTTGTTATCAGTGGTTCATTCCCTAATTCTTTCTATCAACGAGACAACACATAAGCTTGGCAAGCCAGACACATGTAATGCTAGCTGCATCAGATTTTGTCTGGTGAAGCTCCTGCAGTCTTCTGGTTATGATGCAGCCGTTTGTGCAACCAAGTGGCAGGGTTTTGGCAAAATTCCTGGAGGTATATCTACATATCCTTAATCAAAATTAGTATACTTCACAATGATACAAGTTTATTTTATTTTGCAATCTGGAGAAGCTTTTGTTGACTCTCTTCTACCCTGAGGTATGAGGAACACCCGTTGTACCATGTGATGGGCCTTATATGAATAATGTTCCTTCTATGGTTTGATGATCCTTTTACGAACTTTGTGGACCATCCATCATAGTCTCATAGGTCTAAAAATAGGAAACAAGTGATGTTACTGCAAGTTGTGTTGATTAGATAACCACGGGGTGAAATCTTTTAGTTCAGTTATTAGATAGCAGAGATGAATTTTTCAAGGGAACTTCTTGGTATATGTTGGTGTCAGCCATGATAGAGAGAATTCTAGTGGTGCTCTCTTGTGCTGACAAGATTTGCTCTTTTGTTTTTGATGAAGGTGAACATGAATTTATTGATGTGATCACCCATCGTGAAGGCGGATGCTCTGAGCGTTATATCATTGACATCGACTTCCGAAGCCACTTTGAAATAGCAAGAGCTGTTAAATCCTATGATGCAGTTTTGAATTCTCTTCCGGCAGTTTATGTGGGCTCCATGACCAAGCTTAAACAGTTTCTTCAAACTATGGTAGAGGCTGCAAGATTTTCTCTCAAGCAGAACTCAATGCCTCTCCCTCCATGGCGGTCCCTTGCTTATTTGGAGACCAAGTGGGAATCTACCAGCCAGAGAGTAGTCAGTCTTTCTGAGGGAAATAGCAACAGCACCTGCTTTCGTAGTCATCAGCACTGCATTGGGCTATTAAGGAGGCTGAAATCTTGTATTCAATCTGAAATCAAAGCAAAAGGATTGTCAATGCCCCTAAAACGCGATAAGAAACAAAGGGCGAAGAGAGACAGATGGAGGCAATCTTCATTCAGGACTTCATGAAGTCGCTGAGGTTTAGTTGGGTGCAATACGCATTCAAGACTGTTCAGGGAGTCAATGTGGGTTTTTTTTTTGTTTGAGAGAGAGAGGGGGGGGGGGGGTTGTTAAGCAAAGCCAACAGCTTGAAGCACGTGTTATTACAGCAGACTTCAATACACTAACAGCAGTACAATGATCATAACCTGTAGTATTGTTCGGGTGTGGGCAAAGAGCAAGGTCTTCTCCCAATTTTGGTTCTTTTATTCTTTAAAGACTTGGCTAGTCAATTTTTGCTACATCTAGTATGTGCGTTGTATCCCATGAGGAAAATAACTAGGGCTTTTGATAGCTTGTTAGTTAATGTGCTTTAACTGTTCCAATATTTGCCGCATTTCTTTTCTGGTATCATTGAATGTATGATGAGTTTGTTACTTATGTCTTTTAGCCATGACTTTATGCAACTTAATGGAGAAGTTACTTTCTATTTCTCTTTTTGAGATCTGAGTCCTAGGTACGACTCTTTTATTGAAAATGCCGTTATAATCCTATTATGCGGGCCTCTATTTGGTATATATGGACCATCAGTAGACCCAATACAGTAGTTGATGTGCTTTCTACATGGTGACTAATTTGAAGTGCTTGAAACAGTGAAAGCTCTTGTTTTAAAATTTTCATCCCCTTAAACTTTGTTTTGGACAAAAATTTCATGTAACTGAAACACAATATAGAACTGGAGGAGTTAAAATCATGCGGGCACATTGGTATTCCCTCAACAGATAATTAAACCAAAGAAAAAGAGTTTTCCAAGGGAAAAGAAAAACAAAGACCACCATTACAACATGTGTGGTGTTGGCTTTGCTCTGAGGAATACGAACAGCAAAGGTTGGTTGTGAAACGTTGGCGATATATCTATAAAGACATATTCACAACACCTCGAGACGACACTGCCGCTGCTGCGCTCTGGAAGAACCCCGAAATCACCTGGAGGCATAAACATAAAGCTCTTATTAGTGAATGTGTGTGTCCATAGACGATGTAGGGGGTAAAGCTCTAACATACCTCATTTCTTTATGTGTCTTTGAAGATACGTATTTGTAGACCTCTACTCTCGATCGACATATATATCCAGTGCTCTCTTCGATATAGTACTGCGTAGAAAATGATATACAAAAGTGAATTCTCAAAATTGTGTTTAGTATGTTTTTTTGTCTCTAAATTCCCAGATAAATACTAAATCATTTCAATTTCTTTTCTCTTTCATTTTCNGGGGGGGGGGGGGTGTTGTTAAGCAAAGCCAACAGCTTGAAGCACGTGTTATTACAGCAGACTTCAATACACTAACAGCAGTACAATGATCATAACCTGTAGTATTGTTCGGGTGTGGGCAAAGAGCAAGGTCTTCTCCCAATTTTGGTTCTTTTATTCTTTAAAGACTTGGCTAGTCAATTTTTGCTACATCTAGTATGTGCGTTGTATCCCATGAGGAAAATAACTAGGGCTTTTGATAGCTTGTTAGTTAATGTGCTTTAACTGTTCCAATATTTGCCGCATTTCTTTTCTGGTATCATTGAATGTATGATGAGTTTGTTACTTATGTCTTTTAGCCATGACTTTATGCAACTTAATGGAGAAGTTACTTTCTATTTCTCTTTTTGAGATCTGAGTCCTAGGTACGACTCTTTTATTGAAAATGCCGTTATAATCCTATTATGCGGGCCTCTATTTGGTATATATGGACCATCAGTAGACCCAATACAGTAGTTGATGTGCTTTCTACATGGTGACTAATTTGAAGTGCTTGAAACAGTGAAAGCTCTTGTTTTAAAATTTTCATCCCCTTAAACTTTGTTTTGGACAAAAATTTCATGTAACTGAAACACAATATAGAACTGGAGGAGTTAAAATCATGCGGGCACATTGGTATTCCCTCAACAGATAATTAAACCAAAGAAAAAGAGTTTTCCAAGGGAAAAGAAAAACAAAGACCACCATTACAACATGTGTGGTGTTGGCTTTGCTCTGAGGAATACGAACAGCAAAGGTTGGTTGTGAAACGTTGGCGATATATCTATAAAGACATATTCACAACACCTCGAGACGACACTGCCGCTGCTGCGCTCTGGAAGAACCCCGAAATCACCTGGAGGCATAAACATAAAGCTCTTATTAGTGAATGTGTGTGTCCATAGACGATGTAGGGGGTAAAGCTCTAACATACCTCATTTCTTTATGTGTCTTTGAAGATACGTATTTGTAGACCTCTACTCTCGATCGACATATATATCCAGTGCTCTCTTCGATATAGTACTGCGTAGAAAATGATATACAAAAGTGAATTCTCAAAATTGTGTTTAGTATGTTTTTTTGTCTCTAAATTCCCAGATAAATACTAAATCATTTCAATTTCTTTTCTCTTTCATTTTCTGTTTCTTTCTTTCTTTCTATCTGAGATGATTTTTTCACCGTACGAAGAGCTACATAAATCACATCAACAAAATCTAGATCAAGTGGCCGTGAAACATATAACTGGTCCTGATCTGGGGTCTACTACTCTACTCATAGAGTTGATGAAGAAGAAAAAATACATCTAGGTTTTCCGTTGGTGGGAGATGACTGATCTAACTTTTTCTGGATCAGAAGCCTTACACAAATCACAGAATTAAATCAGAAAGATAACACAGGTACTAAAACCATTAGATCACTTCAAAAAAATGAAGTAGGAAAAGTGAACCCTAACCATTGCATGCAGAAGATAAGAACAGTTTAAAGACCCAAAAAAAAAGAAACTAAATCTAGTAATTTGAGATTGAAATTTTGGGATTAGTCTAGATGATCGAATTTACCTTGTCAACTTGACCAATACTCTTGCCACCTCGACGGGTTCTACACTTCATCACCCATCCTTCTGGTAATTCATTTTGTGTGCTAGGACCATCTTCTCTGTCCCGTAATTGATTGCTTTCAGGTTTGGGTGTAACCTTTGGTGGTCGGCCACGTCGCTTTCTAGGGTTCGGAGCTTCTGGTTCTGGTTCTGCCTTCAGTTTATCTTCTAGCCTCAGAGCTTCATCTGATTCTAATAGGCTTGAGTCTTCTAGCATCAGAAGAATCTCAGCAGTATTGTAATCCTCATTTGAAATTGGATACAATGGCCGAATTTGATGATCTACAGGCATGGCTTCCGGTACATGGTCCATTTCCGGAGCGGGCAGCCTTTCTCTGGCGCCATGCAGATGCTTGGGAAGCTCTGACAAAACAGCCAGAGCTTCAGCGATCTCGCTGTCGGGAACATTTCGAACAAGCTCCATTTCTGGCAGCTTTGCAGAAACAGGTATATCCTGTTCTTGAGCTTGATGATGATTACTGGGACCAGCTTGCAAAGCTGCAAGTACTGGATCCCATTCTATATCATCGTATAAAGGAGTACAGTCTATATACTCCAAGTAATCAAAGGATTCCATTGTTTTTCCACAAAGGCAGAGAGAGAGAGAGAGAGAGAGAGAGATGGCAAGGGGAGATGTTACATGAGTTTCTCAGGTGAGGTGTTACAAGGGGAGATATTGAGGGTGGAGGAAAGCCTAGGTTATGTTAATACAGAAAAGAAGAGGGCAATTTATAGCAGAAGAAGACAAGTGCGGCGGGTGATTTAAGGACAAAACTGTGATGCTCAAATTTGTTTATCAAATTTTGTATTTTAAATGATGTATCAAAATTCTTATGCATTGAATGTTTGATAAAAATTAATGGACCCCACTCATTCAATGAGATTTTCTCACCCAACCATGTCAGTTTGGAGCAAATGTTACATTTGTTGTCTGAAATGGACAACCCTAACAAGAGATGACCACGTAAAACTCAGAGTTGGCGCCCTAGAGTTCAAACTCCATTACCAAAATGCAGTGACAACTCAGACTACTAGGTCCTTGCCAAACTGAATTTTAATTGTGATTATTTACTTTCTAAAACATACAAATATTTAGTGGAACAACGGATTCATTAGTTACCATATGTGTATTCTAGATGTATCACAGATAAGCATGAATGTGTGTATTGGCAGGTTAATAAGGGATGATATATATCCACTTGGTGTGCATTAATATCACAAATACCTGCTGATTAAAGTCATTTTATGTCATTTTACGGCGCTTATAAAAACTTAAACTATTAGATGATCAGTTACCGAGCGCTATATAATAGAATGAGATGAGGGAAACATTTTTATAGATAGAACATTAGCTTGAAAATAGTTTAAGAAAAGAAAGTAAATGATTGCATGCTAATTTGTCATGTTATTGTCGGTGTTGTATATTGTAGTATTAGGTGACGCCAAACTAGGGTTTTTAATTTGCTACAAATTCTTCTTGACTTGTGAAGAGTTAAGATGTTAATTTATTGTGTTAGTTATTCTTTAGTGGACTTTGTTAGTTATTTGATTTTTTGTTATTTCAATATCCAATTCAACTAAGTTATTAGCTGTTTTTCGTTTTTCATTATTTAGTGGCCATGTTGATATTAATGTGTTTTTGTTTTGGGATTTTTGTAGGCACAGTTATAGATATTCTACATATTTCATAGAGTAATGCTACACTGACCAAATTTTGGGATCAAATTTAGAGCCCCAATGACATGCCAGTTGAAGTTTTTAGTGGGGTTCAAATGACATGACACCAATCAAAGAAGCCCATATCAACTGTCATGTTATTTGGACTATAAATTTGGTTAATCTAATATTACTGTATTTCATAACACGACGTGCCATCTAACTAGGGTTTTTAATTCTGCTATACTTTTTTCTTTTACTTTTAGGACTTGAAGAAATTACTTCACTAAGGTAGTTTATTTTCTATTTGAAGTCCTCATTAGTTACTAATTATTAATTACTGCGATAGCCAATTTACTGTAAGTCCGTTACTTACTAGCTGTTGTTTGTTGTCCTTATTTCACCAACCATCTTGGCCCTTTCTTCATTATTTAGTGAACCTGTGAATGTTCAAATGTGCTTTTAAAGCACTGATATACCAAACTTTTTTTTTTGGGGGGTTGGGGGTGGGGGGCAATGAGTGTGCAGGATAGCATATTCCTACTATTCTTTTTTGTTTATGAATAAATTTTCAAGTTAAAAGCAAGAAATTGTGCCTCCCCAAATAAACCAAAGATCCAATATACTAATTTAAAGTGTTTTTTTTTATTTCAAATAAGTATATAATTGTATCAGGTGTCGAGTAAGTGAGCAACTTGTGCGTTAATTGTGATGTTCGTGTGTTAAAAAAAAAAGTATACAATTGAATTACATCTTTAGAATAACTTATGCTTAGCATTTCTCTGAATTTTAACCTTGCTTGTTTCAGGCAATGAGTTTGTATTCTTAATGACTTCAAGGTACTAAAGTTTATGTTTGCCATAAGTTCCTACTAATCTAGAGGCCTTTGCATTTGGGCATTTTCTAGAGATACCCTTCCAAAAGTTGTCTCAGAGAATTCATTATGATTTTTTTTTTTTTTGTCTTTCTAAGAAAAAACTTTTATCCTGATTAATTGAATCTAGTCTTGTTACAAAACTACCATAATTATGTATAATTAATGCATTTGTCTTGTGGTTAATTTGGATTCTGTACAATACATAGGTGGGAACCTTATATTTGTGCATGCAGTGGTCTGTATGAATTTAAAACCATTTATAGTTTGGTAGCATTATTCCAAAAGTGCCTTAATTTTTGAAACTTAAATTTTGAGTTTTTTTTTTTGGTCTTCAAAGTTTAGACTGATGCTCACTTTAATACTTAAGGTTTCTATTTGGTCAATTTCATCATTCGATATTCGACATTCGACAAGTTTTATTTCTGCTCAATCAATGAATTCCATCAAAAAACTTGACAGTAGAATCTGGTAAAACTTTTGGGACAAAAATATATATCCTTAAATTTTTGACCCCAAGGGGAAAAATGTAATCCAAAACTAACCTAAGAATTCTGTATAATCTAGGAATAACTTAAAGTGGTTTCTTAATTAAGTGATTCAAGGTAATTCAAAAATGTAATTCAACTTTCCTTCAATGTGCCTGTAGTCTTATTACAAATTTAGATTCACACTTAATGCATTGTCACGATTTCTTTTCATATGAAATCAACATTAATTTGAGCATTATCACAATTCACAAGCCCTCTTAAATCACAATTTTTTTTTTGTATTTATACATAACACTTACACCAATGATTCTGCACACAAATGTGATGACTTATAGTCTAAAATCTCTATATTAATATGTAAGCGGTAAAAAAATGCCCCTTAATGTTTTAGTGGTTCGATTTGTAAGAATGTTGCATCATTCCTCCTACAAAATGAACAAACTGCCTGAGACTGGGACAAGTCGGTCTGATGCACTCCGACGTTTAAGTCAGTATAAATTCGAAGCATAATCAGAGCTAATTGTAGGGAAATGTAGTGCATACCTTTGACTTTAGCCTGCTCGGAATATATAGTGGTTTGTCCATTCTTCTAAGGTTTCTCTCCCTTTGGCAATATGAGGTGACATACCTTACATTCAGCCGGATTACTAGTGATCAATGTTAGAATCTTTTCCTATCAGTTCTTTTATTCGGACATGCAGATCATGTTTGTCTTTGATTTATTTTGATCAATGTAACGTCCCTCTTGATTCATTGAGGTCGAGTGATCTTCGCAATCATGAGTACATCGAGCTAGTTGAGTTGGCTGAGCTGAATTGTATTGGCCGATTTAATAATGGCTTGACGAATTCGACCGAACTCATCAGTTCGATTTGGCGTTGTGTATGGTGATTATGCCGATCTAGGATTTACTGTTCCAAGCGAGGATCATATTGACACATGGTCGATCATGTGCTTGTACTTATTTCAAATCATTACACGTCTAATCAGGCACAATAATTCTGTGTCCCTTAACTTGTCCCCAAGGAATGTCCGCCACGTGGCACACATTTGGCTAATGTTTCCTGTACTTGATTCTACTTCCATTGATTATTTTTTGGTCTTTTCGTCTTGCATGTCTTCTTTTGCCAGAAATAGATAGTCGTATTTAATGTTTTGTCCTTTGGTTTTCAGGCGCCATTTGTTCTTTTTTTAAAGAGGTTTTTGCTTTTTTATCCTTTTCATTACTTTCTTGCACTTTCTTCTGAAGTCTTCTTGCTTTTCATCTTCTTTTTCATCTTTCCTGCAATGGCTTCTGTTACTAAAAATGACGTCCTAGCTTTTAAGAAAAAGTAACAAATTTCGGATGATGCCGAGGTACGAGTTGTTGGTGTCAATGAACATTTCATTGGCACCAGAGAGTCTATCCCAATCCATACCTTGACAATTACTGAGAGTGGTGTGAGGCTTCCTCTACACCCACTCTTTCTATGGGTGTTCTCAGCTTTAAAGTTGTGCCCCCTTTAGTGTTACCCCAACTTTTTTAGGGTCACGATGGGGGTTGCTACTCTGAATGACCTTCTGGGGTGAATCTAGGACTTTGGGAAACCTTCTACTACTACATCATCAATCCAACTAGTGGTAACTACTACCTTGCAGTGAGGAGGAAAGAACGATGTCTGGTAACCAATCTCCGTGACTCCAATAAGGGACATGAAAACCATGTCATCTTCATTTTTGGGAATTGGAAGTACAAGGCTAGTGATAGTCCTTCCTATAGGTGTCCTTTTGAAGGAGATGCACCAGGTATAATCACATGTGTGTTCAAGTTTACTAGTTTTTTTTTATGGTTTGTTTGATGTACCTATTTTCTGCTAGGCAAGATAGTCAAGGGGAAGATATTTGAGCACTCGATGAAGATGGAAGATCTGAAAAAGGTGTGGGCTTTCAATGGGAACCTATTTTGTCGAGCTGCCCATGTACTACTCAGCTATACGCCGACCTACCATTCCTTCATTGTTGTGCCAGATCGAGCCAATGCTACTCTTGCAGATGATCGTGAGGTTTTGTAGGCTTAACGTGTCAACAATCCTCCGTCTCACCAAAAGTCTGCTACTGTTTCCTCTAGTCGGAGTAGGCCGGTAAGGAATTTTCTGGCCCTAGCAAAGACCCTTGAGGCAACTCTTTTTACCCCCCAATCCATCCCAATTTCTATTGAACCTACTCGGCAGTCATTGGCAGAGTTCAAACAAATAATAGTTTTAGATGACCATTCTATTCAGGTAGAGCTGGAGATAGTTCAAGATGACGCAACTCTTCAAGGTGATTTGTTCAGTGCTCATTCTTGCATTATTTCATAGCTAAAACATTCACTTTAGGCTTACTAGTAGACTAAATTGCTTTGCTTAACTTGTTTTTCGTCTAATACATTGATTTTGTGTTTATTGGTAGTCTAGGTGTAAAGGTAGATGTGTAGCATCATAATAATGACTTTGGACAAGTTAAAGTTGAAGTTGATCTATTAGAAGTGATGTTCGAGGCCTTAGAAAAGAAATTCAAAGAAAGATAGGTTTTACC